ATTGATCTGAAAACTCAGTTTAGCTGAAAGAATACAGCAGGTCTACGGCACAATGGCAAGTGCCACATGTGCTGCCTCCCACCCGTGTGGTAGCCCCCCAGAGAGACCGTGCAAGGTGCCGTGCAGGCTGCTCAAGCACCAGCTGTGCTCAAGTGTGCATGTGCTTGTGAGCTCTAGGTTCATGGTATGGACTAGTTAAGTCTGCTCTTGACTCTGGCTTGAGGCCACCCTCCAAAATGTATAGATCAAAACGAGTTATCTTTGTGTGCCAAGGGACTGTCAGCAGTGGGGTGAAGCAAAGAGGCCACAGCTCATATTCTCAGACTCCTTTTTAAAGGTCTCATTACTGGGAGTATTTGCTTGGGAATACACAGAATTAGGAGAGGGAAAAAAACCAGCGCTGTAGGCAAAGCGTATGGACATGGTGATGAGGAGAGTGAAGGGATGGCAAGAATGGGGTAAGCAGAGAAGAGCGTCTGTTCCTACTGTGGCCAGCTTGGTGGTGACGTGGGGAATGGTGGCTGGAAGATGGAGATTGGATGTGGTGCAGGAGCATTTGTCAGGTTCAAACTGCAAATATACAAGAGAGCTGCAAGCAGTGTTGCTTTCACTGGCCAAACTCATTTCATATACTAGTGCTTCCTTGTATCCTGGGGTCCCATCATCTTTGCGACCCCTCTACAACCTCCCCACTCCCTCATCCTACCAACAGCCCTGTGTAGCTCCCCCTGCCCCAATGTGCTCCCCCTTCCATCGCCTGCGGTGCCTCTACAGCCTGCACTTGACAAGCTCTGTGCTCCCAAAATGGGGAAGGAGAGGCACTGAAAAGCCCCTGTTCATCTCCTCCACCTTTAGAACTCTCCCATGCCTAGCAGAGGGTAGCAGAGCCCAGCCTGGCTCCATGACCCTTTCTCCCCAGGGCTCTGCACGATGCACAGTCCCAACACGTGCTGTCAGACCATGTATCTCCATTTGTCTCCATCCTCTTTGCTGCTGCAGCACTGTTTCCTACTGCCAGGGCTAATGAGGTCAGGGCTCTTGGTGCTTTTCTGATCCTTGCTCTGCCTGTTGTGAATCACCCGTCACTGTTGCTGCAGTTTCCCAGATACCTCGTTGTGGCTCTCAATCCTTACATCCTTCCCCTTTCCCATTTTTCTTTCTCTCTGGTTTTAAAAACACTATAGCAAAAGTTGTGAAGACAGAAGGCCAATTTTAGCCGTGGTACAAGCAAATGCAGCTTCTGTTTCTTGGGCGTTATGTTTGCTAACTCCAGAGTGAGTTTAGCCTGTAACTGGTGCTGTTGAAAACTGTTGCAGGCAGAATGTGCATGTTTGCTTTCAAGGCAGCTGTGATAATAGCAGCCTAAACAGTTGCTCTTTCTGGGTCGTCTTTACAAAGATGATTTACCATATCCACTAAAGAGGTGATTTGGCTCAGTGATGTTGCTTCTGCACCAGGACAACCTGGTAATATGCTAGACCGCTTGCAGGCTTTGGATCCAACGCCTCCTGGTGCACCTTCTGCAGACTGTTGCATAGACCTGGACCTGGAGGCCGAGCGGCAGCCCTGTGAGCCCTGGCCTCCCACAGTCCCCCCCGGAGAAGAGTCTCCCCGTTTGTGTAGCTGCCTGGTGACCTTGCCGGAGCAGCAGTAAAACCCACAGCTAGCATATGGTGCTGCAACGCAGGTGTGCCAAGATGCGCTTCTCGATGGCATACAGCTTTTCATGACACAGCGTATATGTGAGGAGCTCTTGGTTAAAGTGTCCTGCTAACAGCGTAGTGCTTTGACTCAAACATGTAGAAAAGGTCCTAGCCTTAAGCTCCTGTTCTTGAAGTCGAGCTTGCCCTGTAGCCTTCATGACACTGTTAGTGGAGTATCTGAGAGCGGGCAGCTGGGCCGAGCAGGACGTTGCAAGGCTAGAAATGGTAAAAGCCACTTGCTTGTGCCATCCTCCTTCTTTGGGATTACTTTGGGAACTGGATTTCTTTTAGAAAGGGATGAAAAGTCAGTCTTTTTGCAATACTGCTGACATCTTCTGTTTTCTTCCTCCATTACGAGACTAAGCAAGAGGCTAAGTGGCAGCCTGGCACCTCCTGGGGGCTGTGTTCCCACCATACGGAGAAGGCCCAGGCTCTCAACGGCCGGGTCCCCTCTGTGCTTCCCAGACTGCACCGGTCATCTCCCTTATACAGAGTGCAAAACTGTTCCACCTAGAAGAAAAAGTACGCAGAGAAACGTCTGTTACTTAAAGCATGCTTTGATCCCTACAGTGGTCTTTTTTTCCTGCAGAAAGAGGGCAATCTGGCCCAACCTTTAGAATGCACAATTTTATGGGACAAGAAAATCTACTTGAGTTTTAAGTGACAGCGCTGGTTTTCTCTAAGATCTCACCCTGCAGTTTAATCTTCACTGAAACAAAATTGTTAGATTTATTTTTTTTAAATCTGGCATCTGTATTAGCAATCAAGCTTACAAATTGTGCCTTGTGGTTGAACTCGGTAGACCCACAGCTTTGTGTAATTGAGACTGCAGCATGATAAAGAGTTCTGTTATGGCTTCACGTATTGATCCATCCAATTTAATTTCCTCATGGGACCTGGACCACGCTAGGGATGATGGATTGTGTTGAAGGCCAGATAAGCCTATTTTAACAAAACATCTCAAGGGCTTCTGGATCAGAGGCAATTATCAATACTGATGCATGTTTCCTTTCATCAAAAGGTAAGGGCTCATTAATAGGCTGCACAGCAGCTGCTGTTTGCAACACATGACTTTTTTTAATTGACTTGGAGATACTGTTTCCTCAGCCTTATGAGTTAGCTGTTTCCAGAAAGAAAAGAAATTGGGTTCCAGGTTTTGATTTTAATGGTATGTGTGATAGCAGTATCTCCTGCACTGCTATATTCACTATTTTGGTAATTGAAGCCTAGATTGTATTTTAGAGTGATAGTCCCCTCCCACTGCTTATGCCCATGTCTGAACTGCCCACGCCCACAAATCCTGGTGTTTTACAACTTTTGAACTTTGTGTCAGGTTAGTGATGACATCTGCTATTTTTAATGTTAGTATTTCTGGTTAAATAGTCTCCTGCTGTAACTCTGGCAATCAGCTTTTTTGCTCAGCATCAGAAATTTCAAAAATGTTTTTAAACAGTGTTTATTTTAGGCTCTCAGTTATGAGAAGGAAGCTTATTGTTGCTTCCAACTGTTTTACCTTTCCTACACAAAAATCCTAACATTTCATTTATAAGCTATTTGATGTAGGTGTGTTGTGGGTGTTAAATTCATACTGCTATTTAATGTTGCAGATTGGATGTATGGAAAGAAAATATGATCAAGGCAAACCGCTATGTTAAACTTGATTTTAAACACAGTTTTCAGATAAGCAGCTAGAAGTTTAGCGCCTTACAGAATTGTTTTCCTTAGCTAGCAAGAGTTGCTTTTGTTTTGTTTATTCATCAGAAAACAATTTAAACCATTTAACACCTGCTCTAGTGTTTTCTGATTTCTTTTCCATTTCACACACATTATCTCATTAATTAGCACAGTTCTGCTCATTAATGCATGGATTGAAAGTCAGCAGCAACACGTTCCAAGGAAAATTGGAAAATACCATTTTTTCTAAGCATAGATGAATGTGGATAGGTGATACCTAGAAAAAAATTGGAAAGGTAACTGGGTTGCAGCAAATATAATTGTATAATGAAGCAAATTCTGTAATTTGCTCAAAATCCTATGTCACATGTTTGGTGCTTCATGAAAAGTGGTACCTTACCTGATTTTTCTTCTTTTCTTATGTCTGAACTTCTAGAATAATTTGTACAAGTGAGAAATACAATTTTCATAATAAAAAAGAAATATTTAGCACTGCTAACTGTTGCTTAAAATTACTAGTCAAGTGTTTCTTAGGAGGTCACAAATAGGAAGTTAGATTAAATGTATTTTAGTTCTCCAGGTATCCTGGAATTCTTTTGAAGTTGTAACTCATATCCAACCATTACTGGAATTCAAGGTACTGAATATCCCATGAATGTTTAATGGGAGATGGCTGGTACCATTACTGCCCTCCAGGCTGCTGTTTACTGTTGCTTCTCTTCCCCAGTTACTGTCATAACTAAAATGTGAAGATGAGTGGGTTACTTTAAACTACCTTTAGCAATGATTAATTCAGATTAATCACCTAACCTTACAAACACTGGAGCACTAAAAGAACAACAATGATATGAGAAATTCCTTAAACTCACCTAATATTAAGTATATTCTGGATTTAGTCCTGCAAACGTACTGATGGGGCCAGTTCAGACATTCCTGCTGATGGGATGGAGCCAATGTGCTTTTACCTGACAAGTAGCTCCTTTGATTTCGGTGGCCTATAATCCTTATTAAAACCGTGCAGTTCAAAGTGGTGGGTTGAATGTCACAGATTAGCAGGACTAAGAGCAGTTTTAGCATACTTTAGGCCTTTGCTTACCTCCTCACTCCTTAATTCTCCACCTGTGTTCCCCTTGTCGGGGTCTGCTCCATGCGACAGCCCACCGTAGGCTACCTGCTCGAACCAGTGCACAGGGCAAAGGAACAGAGGCTGCTTTTCAGGAAGGGGTTGTAACTGGGTTCATACTTTAAAGATCATTATTATAATATGTAGCAGGTTTGAGTTATAGAACAGACCTTTAAAAATAAATTATTTTGAGGAACATACAGTGCTGGAAGAAAATAGCAATTATGTGGTTCTAAAATGGAAGAAAAATAAGTAAACAGTATAATACATGGGAATGTTCCCTATACCTGCTTTTCTGGAATCTATGATAATTAAGGTCTTAAATAGTGGGACAGTAACACTGTTTATCATTGATTTTAAACCTTAATGGTATGTTTAATCACATCCCTCACCAGTTTTGGAAGCTGAGGCCCTGAAATGTGAAGTAGTTTCTTTTTTCAATAATGTAAATTATGTGATTTTAAACAGTGCTATTTATTATTTTATCCTTAAATCTCTAGGTGCTGAAGTGTTGTATATGAACATGTCAGCATATAATGAAGGTCGGCTTCAGTCATCTTTCTGGATTGTTGATAAACAGCACGTGTACATTGGAAGTGCCAGCCTAGACTGGAGATCACTGGGACAGGTAATTTAATTGAAAAAGTAATCCTATACCCTTTGAGGGTATAATGAGGAAAAAAAATAATGTTTTGAGGCCAGCAAGTGGAGATGGATAGCTTTCTTCTTCTGATAGTTTGCTGGCAAAAGTGCCAGCATCAAAAACTGTGCTGTCACGGTTTTCATGACTCTTCTGTGTTGGCAAAAAGTATATTACTATAAATTTTACTTCTTTTCATAGGAATAGCTTTCCTCAACAGTTATTCTTTGGGTTAAATTTCAAAATTTTGATTGCCTTTATTGATTTCTGTGGTGATTTTGTTGTTTCAAGATTGTAAGTTGTAGTTTACTTATTAAAAAAAAAAGTGAGCAAACCTGTTGGAAAACAAAGTGCTATGGAAACTCCGCGGTAATATCATAAGCATGGCCTAGTCCCTCTCATCTGCCATCTAAATAAGGAAAAGCAAAATTTGGAAAATCTTCCAAATGCATAGTAGTTATTATCCTGAAATACCCACTGTCTTTGGGGAGGGAGAGATTTATGGGTACAGAAAGTCAAATAGCATAATGTTTCTGAAGGCTGTACGTATTAGAGAGAATTACGTATTTTGATTCCTCATGAACATGAGAGTTGAGAGGCTGAGGCCTCTGCCAACAACCAGTATTGGGGACTCTCCACAGTCTATGATGGTTTTTAAGAAGTAATTCATCAGTAATGCAGCTTCTTGTAGGTATCTGTAGCTTTTTTCTTTTGGCAACAGTCTCAGGATTATTAATGGATGTCATGTTCACTTTTGTTACATACCACTGACTGTGTGAGGCTGCTGTTGGTCATACTTACGGAGTGGAACCTGTGCTTTTAGATCTTAGTAACTGAAATGCACAATAGAGGTGAAAAAAGAAGCAGTCCTGGGTAGTTACCAGTTGCAGCAAAAAGCTTCCATTCTAAATATGAGCAGAATCTCAGAAACACATGGATAATTTTGAATATAGGTTCTAATGATTTTGTAAAGAAGGTGGCATGTGTTGGTTGTGTTGAAGTTTTAAGGTTTCTTTTGAGCAAAGAAACTGAAAGTCTGAATAAAAACAAAGCAACCATTTTAGTAAAGAAAGAGTGAATAAATACATTTTTGCTGTTCCTATGTGTATTCATTTATTTAAAAGGAAACTTTGAATGTTTACAAAGGAATATGGAAAACTGGTAGAAAAGAGGATGTTGCTAGCAAACCAGAGAAAGTCTTGGCCGAGAGGATGTTGTATTTTTAGTCAATGTAAGAACATACAGTTTGGGCTTTTGGGCAGTTTAGGAATTAAATGTTTATACCTTGTCTGTGCCTCATGAGCTAAACTGCTTGCATGTCATAACAAAATAGCTCTTCACAGAACTATTGAGCTTATAAATAGTTTGGCTTTGAAGCCTCTTCTAATTGGGGTTTGAGTACTGGTGAAAATAATAAATGCAGAGGAAAGAAGCACATCTACCATACAAATTATTCTATTATTATATTTAATGTTTGTGTTTGTGATCTTCATCACAGACGCTACAATTCCTTATAGATTTGGTCTTCTCATACTGAAGTAAATCTTAACTCTTGTAACCTACCTATGTTAAACTTTGATGCCAGTTCTTTGTGGGCCAGTGTTTCAAATGTGATTCCTCAGTGTTAATTTTATCATTGTCTTTTCTGCATGCATTTGGAATTTTTTTCATCTTATTGTCGTATAACAGTATATTTTTATATGTAGTGACAAAATGAAGCTCAGAAGAATATTTGTACAGAGCAAAAAGAAATCTTTCTGAATTGCAGTTAAAGAGAATCTGCTTTCAATTAGTTGAGAAATGTACGCTGGGGTTTCAGAAGAGCCGAAGGAAATTAGATTCCTGGCTCCTGTTGACATCAGATATGAGTATCCAGTTCCCTTACCCTGGAGTTACAGGTTAATAAATCAGGGCAACTGGCAAAGACATCTGATATGCAGTCCTGAAATAATAATCTGTCTTGAACTTTTCACATAAGAGGCAAAATATGCACAGAACTCTTGTCATTTTATTCTGAGTGTTTTCCTCAAGGACAATGCTTTGCACACACATAGGACCTAATCTTAAAACGCACAGTGAGCCAAACCCTCACTGGGGAAACACATCTCCCACAGGTTCTCATTATCAGAGTCCCAGTGTAGCTGCAAATGAGGGATTAGGTCCCCCTTCCCCTTCCCCTAAATGAGTAAGGATGGAGTTTAACTGGGAAATAGCGGAGCAGCTAGTGCCAGACCTGTCCAGACCCATGCCCTTGCCCTTGCACTGCCTGCAGTAGCGGGGTAGGGCTTCTGCAGTTTTGCAGCGGGAGGCAGGGAGCTTGCTGCAGATGCCACTGCGTGTTTCCTGCTACATCCTCGTTTACCTGCAGGGAAAGGACTCTGAAAAGGCAGACTGGGCTGTTGATTAGCCACATATGGTCTCTTTAAAAGCTCATGCAACTTTTAGAGTAACAGAACGTGTGGTTACTGAATCAGCAAACCACTTTGGACAGTATTGCTAGATCTTGACAGCAAATCACAGAATAAAGTAGGTCTGTGCTATTCTAGAAACATATGGTACTTTGGCCTATCAAGCACAGCAGTTGTCTTCTCACTTAAACAAAACATCCAGTATGAGTCAGTCACCTTGTAGCTAACAATGTCTTGTTATGCAGCAGCACAGTTCCAGTGTAAATTATGTAAGTGCATCTAGTTACGCACCTAATAATATCTAAAATGCAATGAAAAGCTTAGATTTTAACTGTGCATCACTGTCATATCTTTTCACATGCCTTCCCCTGTCTTTTCTACGTGCATGTTTATTGCTTCCTCTGTACTGAACCTTTGCGTATGTTCAGGCCAGCACACTGCATAATTCATACAGGAGTACCTACCTGCTTCACTGGTGTGGCAGTTGCACTAGAGATGCAGCAGGTCTCTACAGTATTTCACCCTGGGCTATAGTCCCAGAGCCTTCCTACCTCTTGCTTGCTAGGGGCCTGAAGATGTAGAAACACTTCTGTGACATAGCAGTACAGAGCATTTAACATACAACAGCTCAGCATGCTAGAGAATATTTATACAAGGTTGCTGTGGTAGATATAACTGGATTTTATTGCTATTTTGTCCCTTTGCAGGGGGATAAAAAAAAAAAAGGTGTGTTAGCATAAATCTTCTCTTGGAAACCTGAGTCTAAAGCTGAAACAGTAATTTAACAGCTCCTTAGAAACAACATCAGGACTTATGTGTCCAAAGGTGTCAGCTTTGTTTTTACAATCTTTTTGGAGAATTCTTCTCTACTTTTATAAGCTGGACACTAGAAATCAATCTCATATGAGGCTTACTGAGTTTTGTTGCCATTTTCTTGACTTGCCAACACTGATAAGAAGCAATACAAGTATTTCCTTTAAAAGTAAATTTTCTGCATCAAGGAGAGATTTTTGTATGCTGCATATATTACTTAGGGAATAACCTTTATAGTTGCATATATCCTTGTGCCTTCGCTGTCAAAGTTTTAATACTTGCCAGAGTCTCAGCTTTGAAATTACGGGCAAGGCTGACAGCACTTCATTACTTTTCAAGGAAAACTGTGTTTCAGTTAGGTTGCAGGTTTGCCAAATCTCTAATAGTTTTGGCTGAAATCATCTATGCCAGCTATCTGCTTCAGTCTGAAATCAAACCCCACAGGCAAATGAAAAATACTGTTTAGACTCCGTAAAACACTCTGTAAAAAATTAGATTTTTTTTATTCATAGTGAAATATTTTGATCTTTTGGTCTAGATTTTGTGTCAGGGATGCATCTTTTTCTGTTCTGATCAATATATGGCAAATATTGCCCAATTACATAACCTATTGAAAATTCTGGGTTATGAACAGCCAGAGTTTTTACCACTTTCTTAGACAGGTACCGCTTTCTTGGATATAGTAAGCAGCGTACAATTTTATCAGTGAAATAATCCTTCTACTGATATAGTTTCTTTCTGGTAAATTTTTATAAACTGATAAAATGGTGCCAAAACTGTATAAACAAGTCTTATAGGTCTACCAGCTTGATGAAAGACATCTGGAGAGATGGTCTCTTGTTCTTTGTAGTGCCATTCTGCCTTCAAAATGTGGTTTTGGGGGGGTACTAGAAAAGGAAAACTATGAAGATGAGAATTTAAATCACATTTTCTACTTCTTATTTCATATAGAAGATCTATGTGATCAGCTGTATAACTTCCATCTTCCACTTCACTGACATGCATTCGGTAATGGGTGCAATTGATAAAGTACGTTCCCGTGCTCTCACCTACTAAGAAGTTAGTCTTGTAACCATTGAACAAGCCAAGCACCATCTTTGGGCCATAGCTGTGCAACCTACTTCAGTACATGCTTAAGATAATGACATGTTGAAGTCTATTTTTATTCAGCAAAATACGTGCATCTATGTTAAAATGTTTGGCTGAAAAAGGATTCGCTCAAATGGGCCTAAAATTAGGTAAATATACTGATTAATTTTTGCCTATGTTTTGAACTAATAACAATCGAGGTGGCCACGGTGTATTCTAGTTTCTAGTTCCTTGACCAGGTAGCTTATTAATGTCCTTAAATAAAATAAATCAGTTATATAAAACTGTTATAATTCATAACATTAATGCAGAGCCAGAGCTAACAAAAAGCGTCATATATTTCTTTTGTTCCATGACTCCCTCCAATAGTTCCAGCAAAGCCTGAAAATGCTTTTAGCTCCTTAATTCTGTTAAGAAGCGTGAGGTTTGTAGTACAGACAGAACCTTTAATCAGCTCAAGAAACAATTTTGGAGCTCTTCATACTAACATTTTTGGAAAAGTTTTATTCAGACATGAATAATTGAATTCAGTGAGCAAACAACTGTAATGGATTAGTTGAACCACTTCAGAAAAATACATTTATGTGCAACAAATAATCAGCCCTTGGGAAATTCTATTACTGAAAATTATTGAAACAACTAAAGCTAATCCGATTGTCTTCACTGGAAGTGGAATCA